TCCCTGTCCAAGTACAACTTAAGTATTTCAAATTCAGCCTTGAGTTACGCGTGGTTCTTACGTGCGGGCACTTAAAATTTTGCCTGAATATCTGACTGAGCAACGAGGTTAGTTTTAAAGAACGATCGTTAAATGGAAATTGCACATCTACTTTATGCAAAATTTATGGTGATTTGTGCTAGTGATCGCAAAAAGTAGGTGTAAAGCAACAACCATTCATGCAGTTAATGAGCTCAGTACTTCAAGTCCGGTACAATAACATATGGTCGCACGGGCCCGCCCGGTGCGTTCCAACCTGGGTTGCAACTTACATATATGCAAAAACGCATAAAAATGAATATTTTCAAAGCAAGCGTGGGTTGAAGAGGATTGTACAAAATGCTTAATCGCACCAAGTACTCTGGTACGTACTTCCGTTTATTTTATTGTGATTCTTGGCCATATCACTATCGTAACAAACTAACTTTCACATGTACTTGCATCACACGTAAGTAGGTTACTCCTCAAATTCAGACACGTGAAAGTGGAAATCAAAGACCATTTATACTGTTTGCGTGCTTATCGCAACAAAAACTGCATAAGAATGTATGATCACAGTGCAGTTATGGTAAGTGTTGCTATTGGTTTTGACAGTTGATAGACCTCTTTTTGGACAATCGTCCTGAAGTCCGCTTTTTTGCTAGATCCGCGTCCGAAAACAGATTATCTTGTAGATTCGCTTGTTGGGGGAGAGCATCTGAATAAAATTATAGGATGAATGAAACGTCGTCGGCACGACGCGGTCGTTTGCAAAAGCGGTCGGAGACTTAGAGAAACGATCGAAATGTCACGGACTGGTGTACGCGTTGTTGACTTAGATCTTTCGATTGTGTTTGTGCAGAGGCTTTAAGATGATGCGAAGGGGAAGTTAAAAATCACAGTGAAGTTGAAAGTAGTACGCAATAATCGCAAAATTACGTTTTATTTGAAAAAAAAGAAAAAAAAAAAAAAAAAAGAACCAAAAGGCCACAAAATAAAAGACGATGCAGCACCACCAGTGCAATGACATCGAATCAAAAAATGACAATAGAGGGACGACTGGGGGTCTGATTGAAGCGAGCGGACTTTGTCCTCGGCTTCTCGGGCCCTTCACATGGGGCGATAGATTCCGTTTATGACTGCGTGCTGGATAAGTTGTTGCCGCTTAAGTTCTTCGTTGTCATCATTAAGCAGCGTCATGATACAGTGCACTCCATAGGCCAGCTTCGTAACGCAGCGTGCTTCTGAGTAATCACTGGCCGTAATCAGCACGTGCAGTGGCTCATTCAGGTGCTCCCATCCAGGCTGGTTTCGAAGCCATACCTCCTGATTTGGATCCTGAAAAAAGTCTTGATGATGCTGCTTCTGGTTAAGCATTAGTGAGTCAGACAAGTTTTTGCTTTGTTTATTCGCTGTGCTTGTCTAGAGTTGCCTTAATTTTTATTTAAAACCATATGTTGGATAACAGGAAAAGAAATTCACTTTTGGTAGTACTGAAATTCAACAGCAAACGAGCGCAGCTAAGTTAGTTTGGTTCGCCAGCACTGGACTGCTCACTTCATCAAGTGCATACGAAGTTCTCTGGTGGAAGCCCGAACGATCCTGTTTAAACTGCTTGCTTTCAAAGATGCCCAGGCTCCAAATCTGTCACAGTGAATTTCGGAGATGATAATGATACCCCACTTTAATGGAACCTTTGCCACGAATCAATATGCTGCAGTCCGTCTGCGCTTCGATCTGCTTCACTGTGAGCCCCCGGGGTCCGAGAATGCGTCCGACAAGTTTGGTGTTCGGGCGCACTGGAATCGGCACCTTCTGCTCCAGTACAATGCGACGTCCTGTTCGCTGCAAGGGAATTCCGATGAAATACACCAAAAGTCCCCTTTCTCAACGTCTATCCGGACATTCTTTATGACTTACTTGTCGGGCACGCTCGGTGTTTCGCTGGTTCCCCTCTTGATTTGCGCGAGCACAAATTAGACCCCAAGTAGAATTGATTTTGTTGACAAGTAGCCCATAGGTGTGCCTAAGCCTGCCAGGGTGGCTGGCAAGGTAATCTTCCAAATCGCCCATCTCGTGAACAAGCCTGCGCAGAATCCTGAAAGCTTTTAATACTCTCAGTGGCGTTCGAAAATACATTCACTAGTTATCTGGAACACAATCTGGAACACAACTGAATAGGTACTAGAGCGTGGTTCCAGTAGTTCTTTGGAAGCTTTTCTGGAAAATTTGGGATTTTTTCGCCGGAGCAGCCAAAAAGTGTTTGCAGAAAAAACGCAATTTATCAACCGCCAGTGAGACAGACATACCTTCCGCTGCTAAATGGAACACTTGCGCCTAGTGGCTCCGCTGATCCAACATCTGCCGCAATCATTGCTTCGAAGCGGTCTTCCCTTGTCGCCCGGTAAACCCTTCGACGTCTTCCCGTGCGGTCCATTTTAGCTTCGATTGAGAACCGTCTAAGCAGGACCTCAATTAAATGTGACAAGAAATGAGCGAGGATTTTCTTCTCACTTTTATAGCATTTGAGAAAAAATTAAGCAAATTCCACTTGAGCATATTCAAATCCAAGTCAGTTCTAATTAAATTATTCCCACTTTGCTATAACATATAAAATTTTCTTGTTATATGGTCTTCTTATGCAGAAAATTTGCGTTTTTACATAATTTGTACAGAATGTTTTTAATTTTATGTGTTTTTGCTGTGCAACGCTATAGCAGAGCTATGGCGCTGTTACAGCCAGCAAAAACGCATATTGTTGAGAGGCTGTCTGTGTGTTTTCAGAAGCGATTGCATTTTTATGCGTTTTTGCCGTGCAGCGATAGAGCGCTACAGCAGGCAGCAAAAACGCATATTGCAACGACCCTGTCAGTGTGTGTATATGTTTGTGCAAGTGTGTGTGTGTGTGTTCGTCTGTCCGAGTGTTTCACCTCACAAGCTTTGAAGCTGAAATTTTGCCAGTGTGTCCCCCAGTCAAGTGCCACCCCAGTACTGCGGTATCAACTCTCATGCACGTCTGGGCCCCGTGTACGAGCACGTGAAAGTTCTGGCAGGAAAACTGATAAGTTGGAAACGAGAAAATCAAGAGACTGAAACCTTAGGGGAATGTCCCCTACCCGTGTATGACAAAAAGATTTGAAATTCAGCTGCTCAGAAGTGCCCGAGGCTTACGTACAGGCACGTGAAGATTATGGCGGGAAAATTCATAACTCGAGAATGAGAAAAGCTAGAAATTGAAACTTTGGGGGAATGATCACTACTCACGCACGACCAAAAGTTTTCAAACTCAGCTCCTTTGGACCACCCGGAGCTCACGTACAGGAACGTGGAAATTTTGGCATGAAAATTACTAACCCGAGAACGGGAAAAGCTGGAGAGTTGAAATCTTCGGGTAATGTCCTTTGCTCGTGTATGACAAAAAGATTTCAAATTCAGCTGCCCGGGACTGTTCGAGCTTACGTACGAGCAAGTGAAAATTGTGGCGGGAAAATTCATAGCTCGAGAATGAGAAAAGCTCGAAAGTTGAAACTTTGGGGGAATGTCCCCCACTCACGCACCAAAAGCATTCAAACTCAGCCCCTTAGGACCGACCAGGGCTTACGTACAGGCACGTGAAAATTCTGGCGCGAAAATTAGTAACCCGGGAACGGGGAAGCTAGAAAGCTAAAACTTTCGGGAAATGTTTCCTACCCATGTACGACCAAAATCAGTTGTTTAGAAGCACCGTCGGTCCACGTACGGGCACTTGGAAATTTTAGCGCGAAAATTACTAACTCGGGAACGAAAAAAGCCAGAAAGCCGAAACTTTAGGGTAATATTCCCTACTTATGTGTGACCAAAAGATTTCAAATTTAACTCCTCCAGTACGGCCTTTTTTGCGGACCAGCAACTTTCCATTTCTCGGGTTACTGAAGTCAACGTCTACAAGTGACGTACCACACAGTTGCACAATTAACTTCCCGAACTTCGAGGACAATATGTCATAGGACTAGCTACTGCGATTCCTTGCGATTTTGTTACAGCACGAAAAGTGCAAAAGCGCTTAATCGTACCGGCCCGCCTGGTGCGTTCCAACCTGGGTTTCACCCACTTTCATCTCAGCAACCAGGAAAGCTTGGAGGTTGAAAGTTTGGGCATATGTTCCTGCCCCGTATGTTACCTCCCGTTTCAAGA